GTAGTCCAGCGAAGAGTCTCTTTCCAGCGAATGTGTTTTCTGTCTTCGTCCGAAACAGCCTCCCAGCTGAACTACGTGTTTTTTTAAAGTTTTTATTAATGTCTGGATGACAATCACTCATGAATTAAAATGAAGAGGACACAGAGCGAGGAGTGAATAACAGGACAGTGGATAATTGATATGAATGCTAGGCAGTGAGTGGACTACCTACAACAATCACCATCAATAATATTCGATCATGTCACAGGTGAGAACAAATAAACATGAGGGCTGGAAGTAATATCACGTAAAAGGAGACCCAGTCTTAAAATTGAATTACTAAGGCGGACTCGGATTAATGACAAATCATTTTCGATACATCAAACATGTTAAGGTGTTTGTATGGTTAGGGTTTCAAGGAATTGAAGTATGTGACCCACATCTACTGTATAGCCACTTTTAAAATTGACTAGTCATTTATTTTCAGGGCTAATTAATAATAGGTGATTTTATCTGTTCTTCCAGGTGCTTAGGTATACGCCTTAACCTTCAGAGTTTGATGGGCCATCTCTATATCCATGTGAACACATACATATAAATTGGTAAACGCTGTGATAGGTGGAGTGAAACTGTCTTCAAAATGTTGTAAGTGTTCAGAGGACGACATAAATTCCGTCTTCTCCATAATAATGAGCTTAACTATATAGTCAGTTCTGTAGAGTGCTACTCTGATTCTTCATCTAGTGAAAGGGTTCGGCAATCACTTTTAAACGGGAAAATTTAATATATATATATATATATATATATATCAATTTGGTGACATGCCATAACTGATGGAACTTTTCATTGATTGGTGCTTCTATAGCATTTAATGAATTTAGAGGATTGTTATTATCTAATAATATCTTGCGGTTGTTTTGAATTTCCGCTTCAATCGTATCTCTAGTAAAGTATATCCAAAATGTGATGTGCAAAGTTATTTCACATTCCAGACAAATAGCGTATTCTTATTCATTCGTTGAGATTCATGAAGGAGATGAAATACCTTAAGTAAATTACGCTCATACTTCTGTCTGTTTTCGCCATAGAACTTTGCACTGATATGCGACAGTTCAAGTCACCACACTCCATGTAGCACACAACGCAAGAGAAGAAAGTAGGAGAGATGCATATTAGAGAGAGTAAACAGAAGTGTGAGACAAAGGAATAGTAATAACGAAGAACAAAACAGTTTAATTGGGAATCATAAGTCACAAGGAGTGGATGCATCTGCGCAAGCCACTAAGAACGATTTTGAGCCATGTCACCAATTGTTTCCAACCATTGGTTTTTACCGTCCCAAGGACCCCAACCAGGAAGTCTACACCTTCCTACGTGGTTTAAATTAATTGTTGTGGATTTCATTGACTGATAAAGCCATGTTTTGGTTTGACCACCACTGGCTCTTTTCCAACGTGACGCTATATCAGCTAACATTGCCCGTTGAGGAAGGCGAAGGCATACGTAACACATGTCCTAACCATCTCAGTCGATGTAATTTCACAGTCTCGTCGACTGATTTCCCCTCCTTACCTAGCACTCGACGCCTAACCTCAATATTGCTCACCTTATTATACCACTTCACACTGGAGATAGAACGCAGACACCTATGATCAAAGACAGCTAATCTTTTCATGTCTTCTGCCCTCAATGGCCAGGTCTCACAGCCATAAAGGAGGACGGAGCGGACTGATGAGCAGTACACACGCGCTTTGGCCGATAGCCGGATATCACGTCTACGCCAGAGACGACGTAAACTGGCATATGCGAAACTAGACCTCTGTATTCGTGCTGAGATTTCGTCAGAGATCAACCCTCATACTTCATTGGTAAAAACCCCAATTCATATATATATATATAGCCTTGGTGTCTATTCATTCCTAGTAGTGCAGGGACGAGGAAGTTGAAGGGGTTACTTCGTTCACCATCATAGGTGATATAAACTGCTGGATGAAGATTGTGAAGAGGCTCAAAGTTGAATCTATGGTATGTATAAATAATTTGTTGCAGGATTTTATCGCGAGCTAACATCGGTCAGACAGCTGTTTCGGGGTAGTTTGCGACTCTGCATCGGTATGCACCCAACACTTCTGAAGTGTCCCAAACTAGGACGAAACAACTCTTCAGTACTGCCAGGTTTTCCAGTGGTTCTCTAGCCGATGTCAGCTCATGATGAAATCTTGTAACCAACCAAATCAAATTTCTGCAAATCAACCCTTGAATATATAATCTGATTGATTTCCTTTTAATCACAGAAAAGAGAGTCGAGAAGCTCTCGCCTTAAGAAATGGATGAGAACGGAGAACTCTTGGAAGACTTCTGCGCTTTCAACAATTTGGTGATCGGAAGTAGCGTGTACAAACACGGATTTCACCTGACAGACACACCAAAAACCACATAGAGTTCATTTCAATCTCAAGGAAGTGATGACGGAGCCTGCAGGACACAAAGTTGAGAAGGGGAGTAGACGTGAGCTCAGACTATTATCTAGTTCAAAAAACCCTCAAGGTCAAGTTGAAAGCCTTCATAGCAATCAGAGAAAGACCCCAATTGAGGTTTAACACTCAGAAACTGAAAGACAAGACTATAAAAGACACCTTCACCGCAGCCGTCACAGCAAAGCCTGAGACATTACGTGGAATCACTAAGAAAAATTGTGTGGAAGAATATTAGAACTCTCTGAAGGTGACATTCAAGGAAACATGCACCACCACTTTAGTAAGAAAGGAGAGGCAAGACAGGGGATGGTTCTCAATAATAATAATAATAAAAGAGAGGAGGATGCAGAAACAGAAGATGACTCAGTGGACAGATGGATAACAAGAGAAGTTGAGTTCAGTGTACACTATATTGAATAAAGTAAAGAAAAGTGAGTTGAAAGATAAAAGACGATTCTATGACACACTGCCAACTGAAGCATATCAGACCACAGTCAAGAGACCTCAGAACATTATATCGGATAACCAGGTCAATCTGTACTCTGGATGAAACTTATAAGAGATGGTTAAGGGAACCTAGATACCAAGGAGGAGAATAATGGGCTGATAACTTCAAAAGACTCTAGAATTGAGTGCAGCTGAAACTCGTCCAGAAATACCACTATTGTTGGGCACCCCACTGCCAGTTCTCCAGACAAAGCAGAAGCCTGGGATGCAATGAGGCTACTGGGGGCCTGCCAGGAACGCAGCGGGACCAGACGGAATTCTCCTCGAAGCACTGAATACAGACCCAGAGACTGCAACAAGTGTTTTCACGCCATTATTACAAAAAGCCTGTAAGGAAGGAAAGGTGTATACTGATTGGAAGAAAGGCTACCTTGTCTAGCTACCAAAGAAGGTCTACTTAGGCCTATGCAAGAAATGATGCGAAATCATGCTGTTATCTACACCAAACGAAATACCGAGCCGCATCATCCTGGAGAGAATAAAAGATGCACCGGACGCAGAACTCTACTCTCTGGAACAAGCTGGATTCAGGAAAGGCAGCTCTACGCATCATCATCAAACAAAACATAGAGTGGCAGTCAAACCTCTACGTCACTTTCATTGATTTTGAAAAGACCTTTGATATCATTGACCAAGAAGTAATTTCGAAACTGCTTCAGCACTATGGCGTGCAGCGCTCCAAACCTTTATCAACCTCAGTCAACAGGTATATGACGATATCACATGTCAAGTGATCCACCACAGAAAAATCAACGTGGCGTTTAAACTGATTACAGGAGTACGACAAGGATACCTACTATCGCCGATGATATCCCTAAGTGTGGTGGACTGGATTATGCGGAAGACTGTGCGTGGGAGTGAGAAGACAGGAATATGCTGGACCGTTAAGAAGACTGTAGAAGATGTGGATTTCGCGGTGGATGATTTGTGTTTAATGTCACACAAACTCGAAGACTGACAGGCGGAAACCAACAAACTGGCTGAAGAGGCAGGCAGCGAAGACAGGACTGCAGGTGAACATAGAGGAGATGGAGGTGATGAAGACAACCAACCAACAGTGACAATAAACAGCACTAACCACTATCAACGGGAGAAATTCGACAGCAGTTACTTCTTTCACTTATCTAGGAAGCATCATTTCAACCACAGGCAGCCAGAACCGATAAAGATGTCACAGCTGACCAGAATCGAGAAAGCAAAACACACCTTCATCAACCTGAAACCAGTTTGGGAACCTTCTGCACTGCACTCTGCAGCATAAAGAACAAGATTCATATTTTCAACACCAATGTCAAGTCGGTCTTCCTATATGGGTCAGAAACTTGACCAGTGTGTCATGAAAAGGATTTCCAACAGGTTGCAGACTTTTACCAGTAGCTGCCTTCGCTGGCTCTATACTGGAGATCAAATGGCCATTTAGAAACAATTGGTAACAGGAAACTCTGGTAACAAACCAGCCAAGAGCCGATCGCTCAACAAATATGTAGGAGGAAGTGGAGATGGAACGGGTACACTTTGAGGTAGCCATCGAATGAAATCGTGCGCCAGGCTATCACTCGAGTGGAATCCATACACGAAACGACGAGTGGGTCATTCTTGGGTGACATGGAGGAGATCGTGCGATGAAGCGATGAGAGATTATGGTCAATCATGGACGCAGGTGAAGAGGACGGCAAAGAATAGAACAAAGTGGAGATATGTTGTTGAAGTCACTCGGAACCCAAGGGAACAATAATAATAATAATAACCTGAACTGTTGCACTTCTGCGCCAAGTTCTATGTTGAAACTCAACGAGTCAGTCATTGAAATGAAAAAACCGAATAAGTGAATTATGAACTGAGCAGACAGGATAATAATAAAGTGAAGTAGTATTCGGTGAATAAAACCTTATGGAATAAGCTAAGTGCAAACTGAATATTCACATGTTCAACTTCAATACTGAGTTACAGAACCTTAATTCTCTCTAAGTAGTATTATGTTAATAACCTTGTAGTTACCTTTTCTATTTCCTATATAAATAGATAACATTTTATTTCATGATGGATATGAATTACCAATTTCATAAAATAAAGTTTCATTTATTTATATACACAAGTAACAGTTCCACTGGGAAAATGAATCCCAGCGACAAGAAGTGAAAATAAAAAAAACTTTTCTTACATTATTAGTCACTCTGTACATATTTTGCTTACAATTAAGCTCTTTCTAGCACGAATAAAGCATTATATAGTATAGCAACCAAAATAGTTTGGTAGTACTGAACTTTGTCAACAAATATAAAATCTAAACATCAAAAAAGTATCTTTTCAAATTACACGGAAATAAAATCAGAAATCGAAACAAAAAACAAATTTAAACCCAAAGAGTTCTCAGATGAAAGATTTATATATTATAAAGGATTCATTTTCATTAGGAAGCGGTTAATTCTCCGTGAAGCATCACTCGACAACCACAAATCATCAACACAAAGAACTAGCAGAAAAACTTAACACCTGCATCTCCCATTAATTCAGCTTTGCCGCGTTTCTGCAGTACAGTCAATGCATCTATCAAAACCGTTATATCAAGTCCATGAAAAGCCTCTTGTCTTGTATTATCACTGTCAGTTAGCTCATAAAATGTGCAAACTGAATTCCCATGGCCAGTTGATCGAGCCCATTTAGATATCAGATCAGCCCATTCTTCAGCTGTTCGCCAAACAATCCTAGCATTGTTATGAGATCTGGAAAATGTAAGATACAAATTCTGCGTAGAATTAAAAATATAGATATCCGCTATATATGAGCAATTAAATGAATAAAAGTTGAAACGTTTTTAAAATGAACTCATGACAGTATATACTTGGTTGATTTGGTTATATTACTGTATCCGTCCTTAGAGTAGGTATGTGCAATGCTCTACAGCCTGTAGTTGCTAATCGAAGTAAGTACCTACTCGGTGCAATCAGAAGACTCTGAATATTGAAATCTTTGCCTAAAAAGGAAATTAGATTATCTAATAAAATCTGCATTTCGGAAGCTCTCCTCTTTCGACAATCCAGCTCTTGAGAAACCAACGATAAACAAACTTCCATGTGCATATTTACAAAAAAAGTTAAGAACGATAGCGTTCGCAACCGTGATAGACAATGTCGGATTACGGCAACATAAAGTTCGTATATGCCTGAGTTGACATTAATAGTGTCTTGATTAGCATAGTGTACATTTATCACTCCCTTTACAGATAGACATTACTAAAATACCTCTTGATTCACGGAGTCAAATGTCTGTACAGGTCAAGAAAAATAACGCACAACGTATACCAATAAATACGTGCTTTCAGAGCCCCTTGAAGGCTGGAGATCTAGTCCATACACTGAACACGACGATTAAACGGTTCTCTAGAGCTGCTCTTTAACTTTACTTATCTTGAAATAATGAATGATGGTAGGTTCCTCTGGTAACTAACAGAGAAAGAACTGTCTACCTTTTAATAAAACCCTAACTAATGATCTACATCATTCTCGTGACATGTCAACTCTACATGCCAACTACTACTGTAGCTATCGTAGTCAGTAAATCCTCACTAACCCTAAAACACTACTGTATTTAAACCACCAGGTCCTGTTGTCTTGCTTCAGTTGTAACACTAATGTGTAAGTTCGACCTAAGTTGGGTTTTAGAAGTGAGCAATCTCGGTGCTTTTGTACGTTACTCGAACTGCTTCCTGAGGTGTCCTACCCGAAGTTTTATTTACTTAGGACATTTTATTCATTATAATACTTTTGGGGCCCATTTCTTTAATAAGTCTGAGCCTTTGAAGAGTACTAGCAAGTGAGAACAACCCTATACTTCATTTTCGTAAAAAATTACAGCTGTCGCTATGTAGAAGAGGACCTTGCTTTTCTAGTACTCAGAACCTACTAGAATCAATTCCCTCTGGTCAGTTACTCTGAATGAGACCAGAGGTCCACTGATATTCACTAACATGCTGAGATGTTATCAGTATTCTAAACAGCAGGCAGGATGGTGAGTTTTGAGAATTATCACTAAGAAACTTGAAATGTTTAATCAATTAGGTCTGATATTCTCGTTAACAAACTGAGCAGCCGCTTATTTTTTTAATCACATGCAAATGCTGAAACCGTCAGGCAGCACATATGGGATATTCCATTCAAAATCTCTAGCCGCTGAATTATCACATTTTCCAAAGCCCACCTGATCTTACTGCGGTACACATTAATAAGTGCGATTTGGCAGCTCGGAAGTCGTATCTGTTAGCACCCCCTATTACGACTGACTAAAAGCCACATCCGACAATAAAGGCACTCATGATTCCGGGCCAAATTGGTGTTATATACCACAGGCATTGGCAAGGCAATGTTACGCAATCATCATGCGCCCAAAATAGGATGGAATACTTTACTCTAATTGATCGATTAGAATAAACGTACATTCAAGAAAAATAAGAATGTGGGTTAGTGCTAGCCTGTAAGACTTTTCCTCCACTCAATCGAATATTTGGATAGGAACAAAGTCAGGCACTATAGTCCCCTCAGTTGTTATAACAACTGAAGAATCTAGAAAATAATGCCAGCTTTAGTCACACTAATGTAGTAAAACTCGCACACAGCATCAAATATAGTGTAAGTGATACGTAATATGATATAGCTAATACACAAAATGGCAAATTTATATGTTAGTTTGCAGAGCTGTAGGGAACGGAAAAGCAAATTAATACAACTAGTAATTTCCCATTGATTATCAACCAAAAACATGAGCCATATCAAGGCCTAAATCTTATGAATTATAATTAAATTATATCAAATACCGTACAACTATTACATAGGGAAGAAATTTTTCTAGAGGACCTTACGGTTCTCTCACACAAAACAGTGAAACTCACTTATCAAGCCACTCCAAATTTCCACGCCTACACAACTCATCCAATATGAGGGCAATTAAATCTGGACTGGCTGAGCGTTGGATACTCTTATTATTAAAAAGAGGACAAGTGGGGTCACGAATGGCGGCAACACTGACAGAGAATTGGTTTCTGCTTTTGAAATAATCAATTACTAATTGGCACCATGCATTTATTTGCTTTCTTCGCGTTTCGACATTTGGTTGGAGGGTGAAAAAAGGCGGGAAATTGTATTGCCACGGCCAACCAAAACCATCAGCCGGGTTCAAGGACATCAGACCGTGGATCAAATTCCCCACGTACTAGTAACCTTCAAAGTGCAGTAAACTTCAGATTTCAGATTCAGATTTATTGGGTGAGGATAGAAGGACTGGAGACTATGTTAATCCTTTTCTAGTAAATTTCTGTGATTGTCCAAACCCTTCTTGAACGAATCAGTTGAGGTTGCAGATACCACTTCTTCTGGAAGTCGGTTCCAAGAGTTTATTACTCGGTGTGAGAACAAGTACTCAACAGCAAGATGATTTCTTCTTGGCTTTTGAACTCTCCTGCTATGTCCTCTAGGGTGTTCCGACCTGGTGGGAAGGAAAAGAGAGAATAGGTCAGGTCCGTAGTCATTATTTAAAATTTTAAGAATTGTGATTAAATCTCCTCTCTGCCTACGGTATGACAGGGAGAAGAGATTTAAACTGTCTAGTCTTTCCTCGTATGATAAATTAGTCATTCCAAGAACCATACGTGTTGCCTTCCTTTGAACCCTTTCTAGAATGTGTGAGTCCCCTTTTAGACAAGGGATGCAGTTTTCCAGTCTTGACCTCACCAGAGATGTATATAAGGAGGTGAACATATCTCTGGTGATTCCAGTGAAGGCTCTACCAATTGCCCATAAGAACCTGAAACTACGTGCAGCCACCGCGCGACAGTGTGCTGTAGTTTTTAAGTCGTGGCTAACCATGACACCTAAGTCCAAGTGAGTCTGAACTGATGGAAGTGTTATTCCCTCTAGTTCGTAGGAGCTCGTGCTTGCTTATCCAATGCGCATGGTTGCACAGTTTGCCACATTTATCGGGAGCATCCATTCTATGGACCACTCTGACAATTTGTTGGCGTCCTCTTGCAACGTGGACGTATTACTCTTGCCCCTCAGCTCTCTCCAAATTTTTAAGTCATCTGCGTATAGGACCATAGGGGAGTTGGTGAGCAGAGATAACCCATTAACATACAAAATAAATAGGAGAGGTTCGAGTACCGTGCCTTGTTGCACTCCGCTGCGTACTGCTGTCCAAGAGGAGAGTTTCGAGTTGATCCTAACCCTCTTCCTCCTATCTATGAGGAATTCCCTGAGCCAGTTTAGTAAGCTGCCTTTGATACCAAGACTTTCCCACTTCATGAGTAGTCTTTTGTGGGGTACTTTATCAAAGGCTTTGCTGAAGTCTATGAAGACGATGTCAACTGGTCTTCTGTTGTCTCTTGACTGAACCCAGCTTTCTTTTGCACTGAGAAGATTTGACAGGCATGAGAAGTTCCTTCGGAAGCCATGCTGTGCTCTAGATAGTAAGATGCTATTTTCCAGATATGCCATGATATTTTTCTTGATGATTCCTTCCAGTGTCTTGATCAAAGTGCTGGTGAGACTGGTAGGCCTGTAATTTGAAGGGCTTTGTCTTGATCCTCCTTTGTGGATGGCGGTTACTATGGCGTCTTTCCAGTCACGCGGTAACACTCCATTTAGGAGAGAAAGCTTGAACATCGTAGTCAAAGGGCCGGTTATGTGGGCTGATAGCTCCTTGAGAAGGCTCGGATGAAGATTATCAAGACCCATTGACTTCCCCGCATCTAGTTTCCTTAGGCAGTTGATCACGATGCCTTGGTCGATGTCAATGGATTCTATCCCATGTTCTTCTGATGCAGCCATAGCTGATCCTATAGGCAGTGACGACTCCTGAGTGAAGACTCTGGAGAAGTAGTTTGCCATTTCTTCTGCCTTTTCTTGACCTTCTTCGACTGTATCATTGTCAATAGTCAGGTTTGGGACACCATTGGATGTTTTGTTCCTGAAGTTCATGGACGAGGAAATTTTCTTAGGTTGTGCCTTTGCATTTTGAGCCAGGTGTGCTTCGAACTTCATCCTTGATTGGCGGATTTCCGCAATAGCTTTATTTCTAGTAGTGCTGTATAATTGCCTGGTCTCAGAAGTCTCAAATGTGGCGAACAAGTTCCAACATTTGTGTTTACGTCTGAGTAACTTACGAATCTCTCTGTTTATCCAAGGAGGGCAATGAATTCGACCCTTTGGGACAGACCAAGGGATGAAAGGTTCAGTTACTTGGGCGGCTTGAGACTCTGGCTTGATGTACCAGTTTACTGAGTTGGCTGCTGAGACGATTGCATTTATACCAGCTTTTCAAACGTTTGGTCAAGCTGGGGTTTTGGCCCTTGCTGCCGTTGCTGTGAACTTGAAAGTGAGCACAGCATGGTCACTTTTTTCTAAAGGATGAAGATGTCGTATGAGATCTACATCCTCACCTTGGGAGAACATTAGGTCCAGAGTTGAGGAGGAGTGCTGTGAGCCATAGTGCGTGGGCTTATTGATATGTTGGACTAGGGCAAACGATATACTAGATTCCAGCAGTTTATAATCAAAGGAGTTGACTGAGGATGGAGTTGTTAGGCTCGTCCAGTCAACTTTTGGGGCACTGAAGTTGCCAACTGCGATACTCCGACATTTCGAGGTCCAGGAGCCTAGCTTCTCTATCAGGAAGTCATCTGCACTGCAGTCAGGACTGCGGTACATAGCGATGAGGTCAATGTCTTGGCCTATGCATTTAAGTTTGCAGCGTAGAAGTTCGCACGACTCACTTTCGTGAGCGAGTGCTTCAATACTACGCACGGTTAAGCATTTCTTGAGGTAGATGACTACGCCACCTCATTTGCGGTTTAGTCAGTCCACCCTATGCACTTGGAAGTCTGGCAGGTTAACTTCGTTGTCAGTGACATCGGGTGTGAACCATGTCTCTGTGATAATAATTACATCCGGGTTTCCGGAGTCTATCATGTTAACCAGCTCAGTCCGTTTATTTAACAGGCTGAGGGCGTTTGTGTAGCAAACTGTCAATTCAGTTCACTCCCTTTTCAAAGTTCGCGCTAATAGATCAGTCTTCCTATGCCTACTGCTAACGTTATTTTCCTTTCGACAGTGCCGCTTGTGACAGCACCCAGACTATATTGTCGATAGCACTATGTGATAAACAATGCGCAACAGGAAACCTACGTTCTAGAATTTTTCTTAATTGTTTCTTAGCTTAATTACTCTGAAGTTAATGGATAAGTATGATTCGTAAGATAAGACTCATCAGCACAACATGAACACTTTTCTGTTTTTAGACCGAAAATAATTCCCCTTCAACCAAGATTCTAAATTCGGCTTTATGAATAAATGCTTTGTTAATTTTTGTTGCTAAAATTTCCACCAATAAAATAGTTTGATCAAAAGATTAAAATATGCGAAGAGATAAGGCTTTGCGGATAGATAGGGATATTCCTATTGGTTAGTGGAGCGATACTGACTGAATACCATAATTTTCAAAAGTTCATTTGTAAAGATTTAATTTGTTTTTCGGGTTTGATCACGGATTAATATCAGTTAGTAAACCACCGAAAACCAGCCACAATAAAAATCACGAAATGCTAGAAGTTAGAATTCATGGGTCATTAGGTTGGGTCTCAGTGACTGAATGGTATACGAACTTACCTTGCCAAAGAAAGGTCCTGGTTTCGAAACTCCACGGGTGCGTGCTACCGATGAGTCCCAGACTAGGATGAAACAGCTGTTCTAACTGATACCAATCAGTTGTCTACCTTGGATTCCATATGTCGAGTTTGCAACTTGATCAATAAGCCAGTACTCTCCACATTGATTCATTATTATGTTATTGCTAATACTAGAGTCTAGGAAAAATAGTAAGCGAGCCCATGAGCTGAGATTTTACTGGCAGTCGTCCATCACTAGTATACAGAACATCCAATGAATTGAAAACTGACTATATTTTGCGAATCGCGCCATTAATTACCCCAGTCTGATAATTCACAATATGGCTACCCACAGACGTTGGGATAACATGCTTTGGTTTAACCGTTTCCGATCGTACAAACAAGGTGGTTTCTGACTGTAAATGACTTAATGACCTTGTTCTGCGTAACTTTTACACTCAAGAAGCAAAATTAGCTACATGTAGGAAATGTATTAGCCCCGAACTTGAATGTTGTGCCCTCCTATATTATTATATATATTTATTCCTGTTTATGCAGGAACATACCAATTGTACAGGCATGGATAAGTTATTATATAAATTACAGTTTGTTTGTTCAATCTAACATTAGAGTTAGTCAGAACAGTCTGCAAAATAGTTTGTCTGTGTAACGCATAAAGAGATATAGAAATATTGTCTTCGCATTAACAAAAAACCCAGACTTCAGATGAATGTGATGCAAATATCTGGGAAAAATAAAGCTTGAAGTCAATTCTCCTATATAACTTTGTTGTGAACAGCATCTGTGAGATAAAGTTTATTGATGTATTATTTTGATTCAATAATGTATTTATTCCATTTTTGTCAGCAGTCTTATCGTAGTTTTATAATAGGAAAGAAATTTGATCTTTGATACGAAAATTAGATAAGGTAATGTTAGATTGTTTTACTGCATCAAATGGGGTCAATTCTAGAACTATCCATTTGCGATATTTGCGTCAGCATGGCAGACTGCACATGTAAGTTGAGTAATACATTGAAAACTGTTTGAAAACCAGTTGTTTCTTTACATCAGATCAAGAATACTCCTTGTACAGAATGTTGGCCAGCGTTTTCAAATGGTAGCATCGGATCGTTCATGGAATTTGAGTTTGAATTTACTTAAATGGTCATTTCAGTTTAGATGATGGGTTGTTCGACCTCGACCAGGAGATATATAGAAGTGCAGGCTCAGGATATAATAACAGAAAGTATGTAAACATGAACAGGACGTTAATATTTTATGTATATATAAATGTTTATAAATGTATATCATTGTATAGTAAACACTACCTATAATCTAGTTGTTCTTTCATGTATTTTTGCGAAGTCTTAGAGTTTATTTAGTGTCATAATATTTAGTGATGAGTCTAGGCGTTATAGTGTTCTAATAGCTCATGCGTTTTAGAAATAAGTGGTGCGGTGTGATTGGCATAGTCATTTGGATGAAGCAGTTCATATAGCAAGCGTTTGAAGGTTATGATAGAGTGACAGGTCCTTATTTCTAGGGGTAAACTGTTCCA